TTTTTATTGAAGACGACTCGACGCTGCGCTATCGTCTGCTTACCAGACAGGCGCTTACTTTATCAAAAAATACATCTGTTGCTGTGAGAAGGTTGAAGTGGAAAGGAAAATTAAGGCATAAATTCTTATAAAGTGATAAATAAATACTACAAAAATTAAAGAAGCTTAAAGTAGTATAGTTAAATAAAATGTAATTTATACATTATTATGAGTTAATAAAGGTCATTATTATTATATATGATAATGTGCTATTGTGATGCTAAATAAACCAGCGTAGGTATGTTTATAATGAATGTTTGTGCGGTTATCTCCTTTGATGATACAACATTCTGGAATTAGCTTACCGTTACATCTAATCAAAGAATGGAACCAACCATCTCGTCCTTTTTCGATATCCTGGATTTTGCTTTTTGATCGGAATATATACCTAATTCGAGATTACGATATTTCCAATTAGAACTAAATAATTGAACTAAACTATGAAATATCAACATTTAGTCATAAATGGGCATGTGACGGAATTTCGCCACGTTCAAATTGTAAGTGTAAGTAACGATGTCCATCCGTCCAAAATACACATTGTACTTACTGTCACGAATTTAAATACTTTCTCTCACTTTTTCTACTTCTATTTAACAATTTTCTGTCTAATTAACACTTTTACTGTTAATTAGTTATCAATTACCACTACATGAACACTTTGCCACTTCTTCGCCCCTTCTTCTTCGCTTTGTATTGCCTGGAGCTCGTTCTCCTACTAATAATTCCTCGATCTCGTGACAATTATTTATAGAGGTTGGTCAATTTCTAAAAAGATCCAGTATATGCCGTCTAGGCTTCTTTGTTACCATGTATGTCAAATGACCTATACGCATGTGACAATACATTGTAATAAATTTAATTTACTTAACTAAAGCAATAGATCAAATTGTGCGTCGCTTCTGTAAAATCAGTTTAATGGGCAACTGTTTGAATCGTAAATCCGACCTGACACGATAGGTACTTAGAGCCGTTTTTCAATTTTGAATTAATAACGCCAGAACTAATAAAAAATTTTACTCTAAGTAGTCATCAAAATCCATCTACTACTCTACGCGCTCGTTGATATTAATAACTTCGGTTGTAATTTCGTTCTGCGTGTGTTGGTCCTGTAAATATTACGTGAATGAAATCCATGAACGTAGAACAATAAAAACTAAATTGTTATGTGAATACTCGAATCAAGCAATATTTAAACATTGTGTGTTAAAACATTTGATAATTTGTTAAGTATATCACCAATCTACACCGTGTTTACAATTACATTTTCTCTTCTTTTTTCTCGGTGGTGCGTCAGGAGTTGGAGCTCCGAATCGAAACGCAGAAGCAGACTCTGCAAGCCCGAGATGAGAGCATTAAAAAGCTTCTGGAAATGTTGCAAAACAAAGGCATGGGTAAGTGGCGTTAGCTGTTGGTTGTTATCCTTTTTTTTCTATTTTTTATCCCTTCACCACGTTCCGCTTGTGCCTGATTTCACTCACTCACTTACTAACTCACTCACTCACTCGTTCTAGTTTACGTTGCTGTTAATAGTGTTGTTCACCAGCGGCGCCGCAAAAAAAATAATTACCCAAGAGTCTTACACGGTTACTACAGTAGTCTGTCTCTCTCTCATACTAATAAGCTATTGTTGGATCAAATTGGAAGGAAACCCTTGCGTGAGGTTTACCCTCATAAATAGCACGTACATTCCCTTATCTGCTTGTCTGAGGAGAAGAGCAGCATGGGGACCAATTTTCACTTACTACACGTACCTAGATATCATTAAAACGCATTCTTGTTTCCACTTTATAAAAATTATCGTTTACTTTAGCAATTCTAGGTGGGTTTATTCATTTATGATTATAAATTACAGTGCGAAATGTTTGGTTAATTATAATTTCAATTAGAACTAGGTTTCCACGAATTTCTCAAAAGCAGACGCTGCCATCCACAACAATTTTATTGTTAGCATAGATACAAACACTACATGAGACTATCTCAATATACATTAGGATGAATATGTATCCATTGACTAAGAAATGCTATTACAGCAATATGCAATTTTATACGAGAAATAAGAACGTATCAAGAAGGGGATCATATGCTAAAGAGAGAGTTTAGTAACAAAATGTTTAAAATTGATGAAACCATGAGGCGAAACATTGGTTGATTATCATATTGAAAAAGTTTATCGTCAACGTCACGTCAATATTAAATAAAAGTAGAATAGTTGATTAAATAGATTAGATATAAGGGGAATGATCAACATGAGCTTCTGAAGGGTTTTCATCAAATCCTCGCAAAAGGTGTACAGAATAAAATTTATAAATAATTTTGAGAGTACCATGGCGACGTGTTACTGGAGTCGAATATATACTAGGGTCGTAAGGGCCTATTAGTCATGAAACAAAACTGGCTTCGTATATTTTGGGTACATTTTTTGTGAATTCTAAGCGTTTGGTATACCTGGGTATTTTTATACTCTCATCGTTCCAATGTTACTATTTCTTCATGTGGAGGAACAAGTGGTGTCACAAAGTACTATATACATAAAGGGTAGTTGAAAATCTCCCACCCAAGCATGGAGAAATAGAATTTCGACAGATAGAATACCACACTGATAGTTTTGAATGGCACACACTGAGTTTCAAAACTATCATCATCATAAGTTCTAATACCGTTTAGACAGACGCCTCCACTCTTTCCTATCCTAAATTAATCTTCGCGTTTTCCTAAAACTAAAACATCCCACATCCTTAACTGTTGTTGAACACTAATCTACTTCTACTCCTCTTAATTCTTGTTTCTGCCTGTAAAATGTATCTACGTAATCCTTCATGTCTGAGAAGGCATCCTACCAACTTATCTTGCCCATTTTTTATTATCTTCTATAGCGACCTTTGTTCGTCTACTGTTTTTAATACCTCCCCAATCCTAACCTTCTCTATCCACGGTATCCTCATCATCCGCCTGTAACATTATATTTCGAACGCTTCTAACCTTTTCTTTTCCGCCGGACCCATAGAAGTGAGTTCTTCTTGTTATAGGCGAATCGGCCTTTTTAAAAATGTGACAAATAATAATTCAAAAAATTCAAACAAAGCCTTTTTCAATAATAACTGTCTTAGGTAATCTCTTAAGTAATCAAAATTCTTATTAGAATTAAGTAGGTGTTACGAAAAACCATTAGTAAAGTGGAATACAAAAATAATAAAATCAATTGGTTTGCTACAACAGATAAAAAAAAAATAAAATCAAACTCGAGTTTTGCGTAAAATTTTTAAAAACCCCTAAGAAGTCAGAGATGCATAACCATATGTAACATTTAGAAGGAATCAGAGTAGCGATTGTGCTTCTTCTTCCTAAACAGCAGCTACCTAAATTTCTAAAAATTTACGAAAAAGCGTAATACCCTATTTGATCCAATAATAGGTCCTTGTACATTAACTGTGAATTGCGACAGTTTTAGAAGGAGATTGTAATTAGAATATAGAGGAATATAGATGTGGAAAACCATGAAGTTCAAGGTTAAAGGTATTTATTAAAGTAATCCAACATTTTCATTTCGTTCTCAAAGCAATTTAATGTGCAATGCTACTTCTTGGTTTTCGTGGTAGACAGCAATTGTTGTATTAAACTGTAATGTGTGCCTAACAGTAATAAGGCTTTAGCGAACATTGGGAACTAATGCCCGGGGTGTTGGCTCTGTTCCAGGTAAAGAGGAAGAGCGACAAATGTTCCAGCAAATGCAAGCGATGGCCCAAAAACAGGTGCTTAAATTTAGTTATCGTTCATAAAAAGAATCTCCCGTCTAATGTCCGATTCAGAGTTCTCTATTTGTAAAATTACCTTCATCCGGTTTTAAATGTTAAATTACTGTTTATTTTGAAATGCTTGAAACGCAAATGAGTAAATCTGTTATTAACTAAAATGCGTACTATTCAACAAAATTAGCAAGTATGTAGGTAGCAACTCAGAGAAATTGAATTATGGATATTCTTAGGACCCTCAATAAATTCTTTCAGCAGTTTTTGACATATTTTAATTTTTTAACTGTTTTTTCATTAAATAATCCAACAAGCCACATATATATTATTACATCCATTAAATTAGTAAAGTTTTTTACTAACGTTACTACATATTATTTACATTAAAGTGAATTAATGTCTTACCACTGCAAATAACCTCAAATTAATGATGAAAAATTGTTGCTGCTGTTTCGCCCTCGTCGGGAATCGAACTCGGATGCCTAGCTTCACGCACCATTGTTCTACCACTATGCTATGTAATAAATGGGAAGTAATGCTGAAAGTTACGTTATGAGTATCGAAATTTTAAATGTGGAATATCTGCTATAGAATATTAATTGTACTTGACTACTTGAGTTGGATTCCTGGCCGTTACTATTAAATTATGTAGTTTTTTTTTCAGGGTGGCGGTCAAATAAAATTAGACAACTTTATGTTTTTTGTAACGTTTCGGTTTATTCAACCATTTTCAGTTAATTTTCTTTAACAATCAATTATACTTTACAAACAAATGTATTGTACCTAACCTAGTAGAACTATATGTAAAAAACAAAATTTTTTTCACTCTAAAGATGGTTGAATAAACGGAAACGTTACAAAAACAAAAGTTATCTAATTATTTCACCGCCACCTTGGAAAAAAACTACATAAATTGGCTACTTAACTTATCAAAATCAAGTACTTTGAATAATTATGAAAATATATAAAGTCTACCCTTGCCTTTCATGGTGTAAGGAACATTCAGTTTACTGATTTGAAAGTGATGTAGATGTTTTGGCAACTTACTTTTTGCTCATAATTTGTAATTGTAAAATACAATTAAATTAATATATGAGAATAAACGATGACGTCCGCTAAGAATAATTTAAGTACAAATAATAATTTTAAGAAATTTTAGAGTCAATGCATTTTTCTAACTAAAGTTATCGTATAAAGGTGAATGTGAGATATTACCATTTCACGTCTAAACTATTAACAGCCGATCATCATTAAATTTTGTACACACATTGTCAGGGTACAGAAAAGGACATAGGGTACGTTTTATCCTGAAAAAAATACTGTTCCCGAGGGACACGTATTAAAGCTTGTCTATTATAATTCAGAAGTTTTACATAGGTACTCAGCAATGGCGGATCTTTAATTGGGGGGGGGCTGAAGTAATAAATTGAATTGAATATATACGAGGGGCATTCAAATATAAATGAGTCTTTCACTTCTGAGGATCTCGAAAGCCTGTCGGAGCGTCGAGAAGAGTAGGGGGGGGTACCCCAATTCCGTCTGATTGTGACCATATAATCTTAAATTAGATTTTTTCTGGAAACGTCGAGCAAAACAAAAAGTTTGTCTCCACTATCAGTTTTCGCGTGCTTCGTTTTAGGTCTTTATCGAATGTGAATAATCACATCTCCAAGGACTGCATTTTAGGAAGCGACTCCACGTCGGTGGTGATTGCAGATACATTTTTTATTGGGTATCATAAATACGACTAGCGTGCAGACATTCTATTTTCTTTACATACACAAAGTTAGAACTGTTTTCGTTATATTACGTTATCTGCCTTCTAATTAAAAGTTATACATGTTTACAGGTTTGCATTTACGCATTATTATACTACTATATTATGTAAGAGAGAAATTTCGCCTGATTATTAAACGAAAGGAAGAGAGGCATATACGAGGGTGGATTGATAAGTTTCCGGCCTAACCAAGAGATGACGCCACTAGGCCTACCTTGAGGTGACATTCTATAGTACCATCCTTGGATAGCTTGTAGCTATAGTTTCAGCCCGATCTCCTTGCTAGTGTAGGTTTGACAGCACG